GAGGCCGAGCTTCTCCGCCAGTCTGCTCGAGGATGACTCGCGTTCCTCCCGAAATCGGTCTGGACAAGTCGCGGCTTTCCGATTCTCGGAAAGGTTGCTGCGTTTCGTCTTAAGTGTGTACTGCAACCTCACCAAGGCCGCGGCTCAGTCACTTATCTATACGCTATAGTCGGCTCTGTAAGCAGGATAGCTGATTGAAAGCTTCTGGCAAGTCTGTTTCTCTTTTTGTTTTTCACCTGACGATAACCGTCTGGCCGCAACGTAGCGTCTGCGACCATTCTCCTCGAGGTCAGTCCAATGTTTACGTTAGAGCGTACGCACAGACGTCACAACAGTCCAGCCTTTGCAAAAATCGCGGTCCACACGTGCTGGGCCACATCCCAGATCCAGCGCGCTCGCGGAGGAAGTCGGCCAAATGATAAATTTAGAAACTTCCGAGGACACCTAAACACTTCTTACGAGTTGCGAATGCGAAAGCATGAATGTCATTCTTCGCCCTGCGACCGCTTCTGACCCTCTCGGCGGGGGCCGCAGCGCCATGGAGTGTGGGGTGGCGTTTTTTGTAACTACGCCGCGCGCACTCCGATGGGAAGTTATCCATCAATTCGCTGCTACAGACTACAGGCTTCGCTCCATAAGACAGGAGAATATACCGATCTCACCAAGCGTTCCACGCATGCGTGACGCCGCCATAACTGTAGTTTGTAGGAGGCAGACGCCGGTTCACGTGACAGCTCATGCTGCCTCGTGGTCTGCTCGCGCAGACCTCCAGCAGGGTTGTCGCGCGTGCACAAAGACTACAGCTCCAACGATGCATATCGGCAGCGGTGGCGTACTCAAACTAGCCGGTGAGATCGGTCTATTTAGGTGCCGTTTGGCGCGGCTTCAAAAACTGATTGCGCCGGTTCGCTCCATGTGACAATAAATGCTTTCGCATCACAAAAAAAAAAAAAAAAAAACAAGAAAAAAAAACGGAACTTTGATATTTACGGTTACAGCAATGGACGAGCAATAAGACGCTACCGACAAAGGAAATGTGCATATGCGGGTAGCAAATGTGGAAGAGGAGGAAATCAGAACGCGCGGGGACGCCAGGGAGCCGAGCTGCGACTGGAATTGGGTAGACGCAAGGATGCCTCGTCTCTACTCACTCTTCGAACGCGCTTGAACGCCGAACGCTGGCATCTGGAATTCATTGAGCGCGTTAGAACGCGTTCGAGCAGTGACTAGAAACAAAGCCAGCTAACTTAAGGGCTGTTTATACTCCGACGTCGACGAACGTGACGTGCGCCGGCGTTCGTCGTCAACAACGACACGACGCGCTGCGCTGAAAGGGTTGCGGTCAACGGCATTTATACTCCATCGCGGTCCAGCGCGCTCCGACGCGCACTTCGCGTTGCGCCTGCGCGTCGCCATGACAACCGCGACATAAGCTGATGGTTTATTTCCGTTTCCGTTTGCATTCTGTCCTGACTTGTTCAGACGGGAGGAACCATGGAGAGCCGATTCGCGATGTATTTAGATCAGCAAAAAAAGAAAAAAATTGCAGCGGTGCTTTTATGGCGCCGAATACGGCGCCAGAGAACACGCACGATGTACGTACGAGACATATTTGATAAGCGCACAGTGTTTGGAGAATTTTACCATCTAATACAGGAGCTGCGCGAGTCCGACCCAGAATACCACTTCCAATATTTCAGGTAAGGCGACGGTCGATAGTCATGTCGCTTATCATAGTGAATCAATTCTGTCGTTTCCTTTTCTGCAGGATGACGAAGGCTTCATTCGACGAGCTGCTCGGACTCGTCCACGACCGTCTTGTACACTCGCCCACACATCGCTCTCCCATCTCGCCCGCTGAGCGGCTGGCCATCACACTGAGGTATGTACTACTAAGGTGCCTTCATGTGCACTTTGCTTCGGGTGATGACATTTTACCATTTTGTTTCGAACGCTTATTTTTTTTTTTTGTTCTGAAAGCGTGAAAGAGTGTGTCCCTCCACGCGCTGCTGGCGTGACTATGCTAAGGCAGCATTTTGTTTCTTGCGATTTCTTTGTATTTTCCCTGTGAGCGCGTGCTGTCGGCATCGGGCACTACAAACGGTGGCATCCCCCAAAACAGAAGTACATTGAGGCACTCTATGTACTACATATTTGATATACACTTCATTTTCGCGGATGCTTGACTGATTGGGTTATGCTTCTAGGCGCTGTACTACCGCCGTACACACGCCCAACTCGTATTAAAATACCTCAAACCGGGAACTTATGCGCTCTCATCTACTCCGATATTTTAATTGAGAGGCCCAATCTTGACAGTGCGTTTCAAAATAAAGTTTGGGCTCTTAAATCGCCAGCAAAAATCAGGGACGCGACGTTTCAAGTAGAAACTTACCTCAAATGCTTCCTTTACTGGTTGGATGTACAGCACGCATTCATATTTTAAGTCTGAACTCCTAGAACGAAAAAAAAAGCCTAAAATGGGAAAGTTTTCTTTTTAAGTTTTTCGTACTTTAAATAGAGACTTGAATTTGTAATATGTAAAGGGGACTAGTGAGGTATGTATTCGAGGTAAGTTTCAACTTGATAGGTTCAGTTGCTGATGTTCGACGGGCCATTAGTACTACCTTGTAACTTTATTTTGAGACACTCATAAATAAGCGGATCAACGTATCATTGTAACACTTACTACATCAAACACATATTTTACTAAATAGAAAGGCTGACCCACTTGACAACATCGTCATTAATTTTTTTTTTTGCACTTTAAATTGAGACTGAAATTTTTAATGAGTAAATCAGCACAGTAAAACTCATATTCGAGATCAATTTCCACTTCATGCGCCAATCTCTTGATTTTTGCGGGCGGTTTTAGAGTAGAAACTATTTCAAAACACCGTAGAGCGTCAGTCAAACACATTTAGTACATATTTACATATTGCGTGTATAGCAATATAAGTCTGACGGAGCACTCTCGTAGGTCGTTCTTAGTCACAAACAGTGCAAATGACTGACTAAACAGTTGCTCTGAGTTAGGTACTAAGTCTCACAATTTTGTTTTTCACATTTCTAGGTTCCTTGCATCACCAGGATCCCTGGGCCATGTGGCCATAAGTTACCGGATGCATAAAGCAACATTATCGGGGATCCTCCAGGAAACGCTGCCAGCCATCTGGGACTGCCTCTCCCCGTTAGTGCTGCAGCCACCTACATCACAACAGTGGGAAGAGATCCGGAGGGAGTTCTGCGTCAAGTGGAACTTTCCTAACGCCATTGGATCAATAGATGGCAAGCACTTTGCGATCAGGTGCCCACCAAACTCTGGCTCAATATTTCACAACTACAAGAAATTCTACTCTATGGTGCTGCTCGCTGTTGTTGATGCCCACTACAGGTTTCGACTGGTGGACATTGGGGCTGCCGGACACCAGTCCGATGGCGGTGTGTTGAGAGAGTCTAACCTCGGAAAGGCGTTAGCTGCCAACACCCTCCAGATCCCTGTAGTCGCAGAGCCTGCACCACCTCTGTGCCTCCTGGGGGATGAAGCCTTCCCGTTGAAAACGTACCTCATGCGCCCTTTCCCCGGAAGAGGCTTGGACTACCGAAAAAAGGTCTTCAACTACAGGCTCTCCCGGGGCAGGCGTACAGTAGAAAACGCCTTCGGAATACTTGTGTCTCGCTGGCGGGCGTTTCTGGCTCCCATGCATGGCACTGTTGAGCACTGTGAAAATATGATAAAAGCGGGAGTCTGCCTCCACAACTTCCTAACAAGGGATGAAGCCTACCGCCCTCCTGGATATGCTGACAGTGAAAGGAGGGGTGCCCGTGTGGATGGTCAGTGGCGAGCTGACATCTTGAATGTTGGTGTAAACAGGAGCCTAGGTGGCAACAGCAGCCCAGCAGCAATCAGCATCAGGGACCAGCTGGCAGACCACTTCATCTCCCCTAGGGGAGCCATCCCGTGGCAACACGACATAGTGACGAGGGAGTAGACGACGACACAAGGTTGTTATCAATGCTGTTCAATTTTTTTCTTTCCTTGCAAATAAATTGTATATATTTTCTCTGCTCTGCTTGCTTAACAGGGTTGACCGGCAAAATATATTTCGCAATCCCTCGTTGTTTTCACCTTCAAAGAGCTTACCTGCCTACCTTGGTGAATTTTGTTGTACAGGGGAGAGCGAGGTAATTGGCACAAGCGAGGAATATTGGCCATCCATGTTTTTCGCTTGCCACTGAGATACAGGCACGCATACCAAATGATTGGCTTCTTATTAAGTGAACCCGCAGGAATGTAGTAGTGGCTCACTTGGAAAATAGGACAGCTTGCGTATTAATTACAAAAGTCGGGTTTAATCTTTTCATTTACACCACAAAGGAGTAAAATAACATTCTAGATGTACTTTCGATAAGCCTGCTTTTCTACTTGCATTTTTCTCGGAAATATAAACAGGTTTTGAGCAATGCGTGCCACCCACGAAGTGAATGTAATGGGTAGAAAGCATGTTTGATTAACGGTATTAGCGCAGGCTGTGTGTCTGAGTAGCAGATGATGCTATTATGTGCACTAGACATTTTGCTAATTTACACAAGCACCAAAGATCATGCCGGGTTTGCAGGTACACTCGCTGCGCAAGGTATCTTCCACACTCGTGTGTACCTACATTCCAAGCCACTTCCTTGACGCTTGGGGTAAATTTGAAAAATGTCTGTAGGTGTTCTTTCAAGCTATTTTATGTGATAGGCATCCCTGCAGCTTGCCTCCAAGAACGAATTCTGAAGTATTGAACTAGAGAGTTAATAATATTCAGATTAACATAGACTGCTTCACAGATTATGTTTTTTTTTTCTAACGATGTAGTAGAATTGCATAAGCAGAGATTGCTCTTCGAAAATGTAGTTCATATTAACAGAATGTGTATATTATCAAAACATGAGTGGACACGTGTGCCTTCAGATGCACAAAGGTCGTGGGCATTTTATTTCTGCTGAAATTTACATTAATACTCATACACAATCTGCATAACACAAGCCCTGAATTGGGCACTGGTGACCTCGTCCCAACGATCTAGAGATTGTGCTACAGAGTAGGCAAACGCCTCGTTCTGTGTCATTTTAGTCCTTAAATGATTTAGAAGTTCTCTCTCCTTTGCGTCAACCTCCCTTCTACGTGCAGAATGGGGGGGTCCTGGGCACCTTTGTGACTGGCCTGATGACCTCCTCGAGGTGCTTGATGTTGATACAACCGAGGTGGACGGCGTGGCTGGGACAGCAGCCTCGGGGCTGCACTGCAGCTCTTTTTGGGCAGGCTCGAAGTCAGTGGGAATGGTCGAGTCGTCAGGAGAAGATTCCACCATTTCCATTAATAGACACTGTGCTGTGTCGCCCACAGGTGGTGCCTTTACGTTGGTGGTTGCCCTGCAAATGGGATTAACATATGGGAGAGAAATTTAGTTAGCAAATAAGGACTCATGTTCTGTTTACATACTTCCTGGGTCGGATATGTTTATCGTAAAACGACATCATTTCCAGGAAGGCCCATTGTTTTTTCCGGACGAAGCCACTGCCACTCCTTGTGGCAGCTTCAATGGCGCGGACCTCCTGAACATACCTGTCGCGTACACGCTTCCACGCTTTTTGTGCGTCCTCACCTGAAATAAATATGTCAAATTCAGTTCTGCCAAATGCAGACGTGATACAAAAATAAAATGCTGAACAAGTTGCCATGTCAGGTAAGCCGCTTGCACTGCTTTTCTGTTTGAAGTCCTAAATAACTAGAGCGCCTCAATGTCTTTCTGTTTGGATGATGCCATCGTTTGTAGTAACCGATGGCGACAGCACGCGCTCACAGGGAAAATACAAAGAAATCGGAGGAAGCAAATAGTCGCCGTAGCTACACCGTGGCCGTAGCACAGTCAGCGCCACGCGCGCGTGCAGGGACACGCTCTTTCACGCGCTTCAACACACACACACACACACAAAAAAAAAAAAAGCGTTCGAAACAAAATGGCCAGATGTCGTCACGCCAAGCAAAGCGGACATGAAATCACCCTAGTCAACTTACCGGACTTCATGCCGCAGGCAATGCGCACGGACTCCCAGGCATTCTTTTTTCGCTTGGAATCCCTGTACTCTAGAGAACCGACGTCATAAAGACACTCGCGCTCTCTCACCGCTTCAATGAGCCGCTCAACCTCGTCCGTCGTCAGATCGCTCGGTTCGCACTCCGCGGCACCTCCGTTCGCCATTTTTCTTTCCAACTGACGCTCGCGCGAGGAATTCTGGGTGACGACCGTCGTCGGCCGACGCCGAGATTCGAGCAGCGCCTACCTCGACGTGAGCTTCGCCGGCGCGCGCCGAGGCGCGTTACGTTGCGAGGCGGTCCACTTGTGTTCGGAGTATAAACTCTCCTTTCGCAGCTACGTCACGCAACGCGCTCGGGAGCGCGCGCCCGTCGACGTTACGTTGGAGTATAGACAGCCCGCCTCGACGTGAGCTTCGGTGGCGCGCGCCGGGGCGCGTTACGTTGCGAGGCGTTCCACCTGTCGTCAGAGTATAAACTGTCCTTTCGTAGCAACGTCAGGCAACGCGGTTGGGCGCGCGCGCCCGTCGACGTTACGTTGGAGTATAAACAGCCCTTTAGGGTCTGCCCAGTAGTCATTCCAACCAGAGCTCGGATCTCTGGCGTCCCCGAACGCTCTGACCTCCTATAGACTCTTTTCCCGCGCGCAAGATTACAGCCGCCATAACTTATCTTTTGTTGTATCCCCGAGACGCCCAGCCGCTGAAATCGGTAATGAATTCACACCGACTGCGCCGGGGACAACAATACGATGGTGTCTATAGTCAGTTACAGGTTAAGAAAAAAGCTGCACATCGATATGTATTTATCCGCCGTCAACTTACCGCCAATCACGCCCGAGCGTCCTCGTGACGTCACGGCCTCTGCGGACCAATCCTGATTTTTTTCCGGACGAAAGCTTCCAACATGGCAGCCTGGACCTAGCAACAGGACACCAGCATTTTTCAGCGAATATGCTGGTCTTGCCACGGTATTTTACTAACGCGAGGCCATGCCGCGAAGTCTCAACGGTAACGACTTGCGTTCGCAGTAGCTTTTGTGCGACGACGTGATGATCCGGCGATGGTATCGCCATCGGAAAGTTCGAAGCGGACGCAAGGCTTAGCATCGCTGGGCCGCTCGTCTGACGTCGTCTTCTTTTTTTCTTCTCGTTGGAGGTCTGCGTTCCCTGCCTCGAGTCGCCTGTCAATACAGTGCCGGTATCGCCGTTTTTCTTCCCTGTGGACTCCGTGGGGCGAGATGAAAATGCAGCGCTCATCATCCAGTGATAACAACAGTATGTATGAGCGAGATTAGCAGCACGAGTGAACTGCCGGCACCCCCAGCACCGGGTTCCTTTGCTAGGCATTGCCTGCGCCCTCGCTTGCAACGGTGGATAAATAAACGAAGTGTAACTACTGAAACGACGTTGTACGGCGTCATTAACTCAGTTGTGAACCGTGCAACTCCTGCCAAGTTTTCGTCACTATCAATCAAATGGTAAGTCACGATTGCTATAGCGGCCTCCTTTGCACCTTCGATTGCATGTAGGGAGGATAAAACCAGTGGTATGCACGATACCTACCTTTTCCCGGTGTCGTTTAAACTGACATGCTTTGTGTTAACGCTCATCCGAGAGAGCTATAAAACATTAACAGTCCTAAAAGAAACGAGCTATAGAAGTAAACAGACAAAGTGCAAAGCTTGTTAAATAGCGCGAATCTTGGCAAGTGAAAGTTAGCTCTCCCCATTTCTAACACGAGTCGCTGTTCTCGTAATGCTCGGCATTACGAGAATGTAAACCATAAAACTCGGCATGATAGTAGGAGACTGAGGTTGTAGGCAAGCCCTATAAGCTCAGCCTCCCTATTGCACCGCACAATTTGTGAATTAGGGTGATATCCATACAGATATCAATACGGACTCTCCGTTTCCGTTCTAACTGCGCTTACCACAGGCGGTGACCCAGTTGGTCGAGGTGCATGGAGGAACTCCAAGCTCTGAGTTGCACCTTCTAAGCCTTTGGGCCAGCCGATTCGAGGAAGTGGAACAGTGCTGAGGGATTGGAAACTCTATGCTGCTCACTTACGGCCCAGTGGAATATGTAAGGCAGACCTTAAAGACCTCAAAAAGCCTTGACCAGTGCAATGAGGTAATGAAGCACAACATCACGTCAACAACATGAGACACGGGAGACGTGTACGACACGCATCCGATTTTACAGCATATGAGTGGTCCTTAAAAGGACCGTTTTGTTTTTAGGGTTGATCCCCCTTGATGTTGACATCACGGGTCGTCGAGGGGCCCCACACTGGACATGTCACTCTCAGAAGAAGTGTCACCTTCATTAAGAGCGATGACGATTGGCTCGATGTGAGCACTTGTCGTTCCTCCTTGTTTGAAGCTTTCTTCCACTTGGACGACATGCCTCACAGCGTTGCACCAGTTACTAGCCGTGACCTGCTCAGCTTCTTCTTTGAGGAGTCTCTCAACGTCGCCAATCTTGAACACTGCGTTTCGGGCTGCGACACGATTCTTGATCTGTGCCCAGATGAGTTCAATTGGGTTGAACTCACAGTGGTAGGGTGGAAGCCTGACCACTGTGCAACCAGCCCTTTCTGCAGCAGTGTCCACACGGTACTTCACGTACTGCGGCTTGACCGACGACACGATCTCAAGGAGCTGCCTCTTCAGCATCTTGGCGTCCCAAGCAATACCTTTCGACGTGAGCCAGCCCTGGATGAGCTCCTTCCGGGAACTGGTCGTCGGCACCGCCTCTAACCGCCGGGAATGGTACGGGGCATTGTCCATTACGATGACACTCCCCGTCGGCAGTTTTTGGAGGACATCGTCGAAGCACTTTTCGAACCGAGGGCCGTCCATTTCCTCGTGGTAGTCGCCGGTTTTTTTGCCGCGGAAGACGTCCAGGCACCCAGGGACAAATCCATCTTCGCTGCCGATATGCGTAACGATGAGGCGCTGGCCCTTCCCCGACGGCTGCTTCAGGCCCGTTGTGAGACCTCGCATGAAGGCGTCGTGGGACGAGGTCACAGTGCTGTCCACCCACACCGTCGAGGCAGTGTGCCCGGCCGTCACCCACGTCTCGTCGAGGTAAAAAATCTGGCGGCCCTCTTGCCTGTGACGCGTGATGTCCCGCAAGTACGTCTGCTGCCAAGCGACGATGTCGTCTCGCTCGACCATGAGCGAGTTTCGAGCCCTCCTTTCTCGCCTGAAGCCGATGTCAAGAAGGAGACGACGCACGGTCCACGCCTGCAGCGAGGGGAGTTCTGGGCTTGTGCGGAACTCGGCTGCTATCTTTTCAACCGTGGGCATCTCGTTCCGGCGAAAAAACCGATGCACACACGATCTTAAGGCACACAGCACGAGGTCACCGTACTTTGCAGTACGCCGCTTCTTGCCTGCATTTGTTGGGCGCTTCCGAGAGGGTGACGCGAGTTGCCCATCATTCGCACTTGCCTCCTTCTTGATTGCAAGCACACTGGACACGCTGACACCTGCCAGTTTGCTGACTGCCTTGCAGGCCTCAATCACGTCGAGGTCGGGCTCCGTATGCCGCATCCGAACGTACATGTTCAGAAGGAGCTCTCGTTGGCCGCTGTTCAAGATGTGGCCGCTCTTGTGCTTCTTGAACCAGCGTTTTGGCGTAGACGGTAGGTCTCTCGACCAAGAAGAATCCGAAGAATCACTTTCCGCAGCTTCCTCGTTGGGATCCATGACGGAAAACATGTGGAACACACAACCGGAGAACGACTTTCCAAATCGCGAATTCGTCGAAACCGGAAACGCAAAAGATTTTCTATTCAACAAATCAACTAAACATACACTATTCATCTATAAAGTATATAAAACTAAGAAAAATAAGGTAATTTGCATTAGTTACGAAATAATAATGTCCTTTCTTTTTTTTTTTAGTTTTTCAAAAAAGTCTGGTTCTCGACTACCGAAACCGAAACCACTGGAAGACAGAAGTTCAGACAGCTATTTAGACAGGAAGTCAGTTAGAAGGCGGAACATTAGATATGACCCCTGTCCATTAATACTGAACCCGTGCGTGGACAATAACGTATCTCAACTTCTTTAAGTATCGTGAAGAAACTAAATTATTTATGTATTGGCCTAGAAGACGTTTCTTTGAGAGGGATAAAACGGCGTTGCTAGGGAGCTATTTTCTTTGACGGCGTAGGCATTTCAAGCGGCGCTTTACGCTTGTGGGCGGAGCTCCAGCTTTTTTCTAAACCTGTAACCGACTATAGAAGGTTAGTATCGACGCTTTCAGACAGCTGCGCATCGGCCCCGCCATAACTGACCTTCAGTTCTTGTTCCCTCTTATTCCGTTCGCTTCACTTCATCATTGCCACAGTAGGACAGGTTATTGCCATTTTAGGTGCTTCTGTGTCCTTCTCCCCTGTATAGGCCTTTGTGGAGGGTCGTCAACGCCTGTTCCTGTGGCTCGGCATCTCGGTAAGACAAGAGGTCTGCTATGGCGGCTCCGCGGCTGGCCCTTGTTTAAAGCGCCCATACGCTGCCGCGCGACAACAATAATGAAATAAAGCGAATTAAGTGGAAGCCTTCCATTTGGTTCGCTTCATTTCATTATTATTAAACAGAAAGTGAAGGTCAGTTATGGCTGCGCTCATGCATAGCTTCAGATAAGTATAGACCACTTTATGACAAAGTGCTTCTGGCCGACGCCATTTCCTAAGTCCGTATGTGTGCTTCGCTTACTTTCCATGAGTGCCAAAAGCGCGCGTAATCGGCTGTGCAGATTGTACTCCGGGCTCTAAATTATGTAAACGTTGGAATGGTGCATACTCCAGATGAAAGGTTTTCTTACAAACTTTAGAGAGAGAATGGCTAATGGCTCTCCCTGCGCGGGTGTTCGTGAGTCGTGTCAACGAAACATTTTACAGATATACGCTTTTCTCGTGGCCGTATAGCAGTATATATGCTAGCTGAACCAGGTACCTTTGTCAACTTCCCATATGGGTTAATGACGTGTTCCCGACTGCCGCATGGTTGCGTTATGGTCGAATGCGTGCCGACGGCGTGATTGCATTACCTTGAATTCAAAATGTAACAGATTTGATGTTCTTGATATACATTGGTTTTACCTCCACCTAATGAGAATATGTAACTAGCCCAAACAGAGTCCATCTTTGATAGCGTGGGCTCATCCCTATGAGTGCTGAATGAAAGAAAGCTTCTACTAAACCCTCGTGTAGAACTTCAGAACACCAACATTGTGCTTCTTATGACAAAACAGGTAGTAGCCATTACAAGAAATTGCATACAAAATAGTACTGAAA